ACGCCGGGCGGCGGCGGCGGCGGCGGCCGGCCGCCCTGTCTTAGGGATGAGGGCGGTGGCGGCAGGCAGCTTGTTGGTGTGCAGCCCTACCAGCGTCACGAGCCGGCGCAGCCGCCACTGGCTGCGTGCAGTGCAGGCCACGCACAAGCCGCGCCGTTGCCCTATGGGCAGGGCGGGCATGTGCAGCAGCAGCCGCCCTGGGAGCGCGAGCGGCGGCGGTTTGGCGAGGGGGCGCCGCCGCCTCCTGGCGCCGGCCCACCCTGGCAGCGGGAGCCGCAGCGGTTTGGTGCAGTGCGTGCAGCGCCTGCGCCAGGCCACAGCCAGCTGGCGGAGCGGGAGCGGCGGCGGTTTGGTGACAGGCCGCCAGAGCAGCAGCAGGCGGCGCCGCCACACGAGCCTACCCACCCAGGCGGCTGGGATGGCAGGCGGTTTGGCGAGCCGGCAGCTGCAGCAGGCGGGCGGCCACCCCACCCGGCTCGCTGGGACGAGCTGCTGCCGCCCCTTGCCTTCCAGCAGCCGCCTGGCAGCCAGCCAGCGCAGCCGCCGCCCTCTGGCAGCAGCCGCCAGCAGCCCGGCCACGGCGCCACCAGCAGCGCTGCTCCCCTACCAGGCCAGGCCTACGCCAGCGGCGGCGGCCCGGTGGGGCCGCCACCGCCGGCCATGCACCCAGCTGGCCGCAGCTTCCAGCCGCCGCCGCCGGGCCCAGGCCCTGCCGGCGCCGGCCAGCCGCCGCTGGGTCCCGGCGGCTCCTTGTCGGCTGCGGGCGCGGAGGAGCAGCAGGAGGTCTGGTTCTATTGCGATCCCAAGGCAAGCTCAAGGGTCCCGTGTGCGCCACAGCAGGCACATGGCAGCGCCTGCTGGGGAGTGCTGGCCTGCCGCTCGCCGGGCGTCGCTTGTGTTTGGTGCAGTCTTTGTTTGGCTGCCTTGACGCCCGCGCCCGCCACCCGCCCCGCTGCGCCCCCTCTCCGCCCTGCAGGGCGCGGTGCAGGGTCCCCACAGCATCTCCCAGTTCCGCGAGTGGCTGCACAGCCTGTCGCAGCGCCCAGACCTGCGCAGGTGAGTGCCGGCGCTGCTGCCTGCTGCCGGCGGGGGGGCCTGTGCCTGCCGCTGGCGCCCCCTGCACCTCAGGGCCGAGCAGGGCGTGGGCCTGGAGAAGGGTGTGTGTCTCTGTGTGCTGACTCCTGCCCTGACTGTCTGCTACACCCGGCTGCCTGCCTGCCCCGCCTGCAGCGACTATCTCGCCTTCTGCGGCGTGTCGGTGTTCCACCGGCACGGCGGGGTGGCGGTGCCGCTCAGCGTGCTGCTGGGCTGAGGCGGGCAGCCTGGCTGGGCTTCCTCCCTGTGATCATGTATGCTTGATCTTGGCAGGCTGGCACATGCCAACATCCATCCTGTTAGTGTATGGCATGCACCCTGTGTGTGGCAGCAGCATGATGTGGCCGATTAGGCCACATCAAGCAAGGGAAGGCCTTCCCTGCGGGCGCCAACGGCCGCCGCTGCATCCCTGGCGGGCACGAACCCGGGCCCCCCCTCGTCCTCCCGCGCCTCAGACGGGCATGTTGCGTCGTTCGCACGCCGGCAGGCAGCCCCTGAGGTTCCCCCGAAACCCCATGCACGTCCACGGACCCAGGGGCTGGTTCACACGCCCTGAAACCTGCTTCTGCCCCAATGCGAAAGCACTCTACCCCTAGTCAATTTCCTTGCAGAGGCACCGCAAGCCCCCTTCGGCCCGGAACACAGCTGCCCGACACGATGCGCGCCGCGGTTCTTCTCGCCTGCCTGCTGGCTGTCCTGGCCGTCTCTACGCCGGTTTCTGGGCATGTTTGCAATAAGGGTGAGTCAGGGAGGGGTGCTCTGTGAGGGGCTGCTGCGCAACTTGCGTCACGTTGCTGCCATGGCATCACTTGGCAATGGTCACTTCGCAAGCTCGGTGCAGGCAAGTGGCTCTACAAGTACCCCATCAAGCACTGGAAGGAATACACTTGGATCAAGGATCACGCCAAGGTGTGTGTGTGTGTGTGGGGGGGGGGGGTGCTTGCGCCGCTGCGGCTCTCGCTGCTGCCGCCGGTTCCAAGCTTCAGAGCCCCATCTGCTCCCCCTCCCATCCCCCCTGTGCTGTGCCGCAGAAGCCCTTTGCCGAGATTGCTTTCATCAAAGCCATGATCACCCTTAAGGAGGAATGGGATGCCAACCACCCCGGCCTGGGCGGCTGCGAGCCCGTCGCCGCCAAGCCCGTGGGCGCGTGCTACAAGAGCTGGGTGCCCGGTGCGTGGTGTTCACCGCGGGGGTGCCAGGCAGCGCGCCGCCCCGCACGCCATGCACAGCATTGAGCTGCAGCACCACAGCAAGGGATGCTGCCGCCAGCAGCCAAGTGCTCCACGCGGCATTTGTGGCTCCAGAGGTGCTGACACCTGTCCCCCGCCCGTGTGGTGCACTGCAGGCAAGGCTGGCAGGCAGATCAAGGGCGAGTACGGGTTCACCGTGAAAGTGAAGGTGAGGCGCTGACCAGGCCAGCGTGTGCTGGGAGCAAGCTGGGCGGCGCGAGGCACTGTCGCCCTGCCCTCCCCGGGTCTCGCACTCCCTGACCGGTTGCTGCCATCGCCGCCTCGCAGGTTGTGTGCCCCTTTGAGCCCTTCAAGGCCTGGTACACCATCGACGTGCTGGCCTACACCCGCCGCGACGGCTCCTACTGGGCCCCGATCAAGGTCCTCCACTGAGCGCGCGGCACTCTGGCGTGCGCCGAGGGCCGGTCCGCCACGCCCCTGCGCGCCACCCTGACTTCCGCCCTCCCGCTGTTCCTCGCGACCACCTTTTGAATGAATATAATGAGCGCGCCGTCACAACCCCTCCACCCCCTGCAATCCCAATCACCTGCCTCACCTCCCTTCCCTTTGACTGACCTGCGCCCCCCGACTTGGGCAGCGCTTGATCGCCAGGCGGCAGCGCCCATTCCGCTTCCTCTGGACCCCACCTCCTCCGCCCTTGCCCCTGCTGCTCTCTCCCCAGTTATCTTGGACGACTCGACCATCAACCCGAACCGCTGAAAGCCCCCTTTGAACTGCTTGCGCTAGCGCTGCCCCAGCGGCAAGCACAGAACCCTCCCAAAGGAATCCCCTCGCCCAACGACACATCTCGCTCCCCCAGTGATGTCGGTGATCTGGATGTGCCCACGCTGCGCTGTGACTGTTCACAGTCAGCATGCCAGCTTGGTTCCTCCCCCCCTTCCCCCCTGTAACCATATAAGACTTTATGAGTGGCACCGCAAGACAACTGTCAACTGCTGACAACTGTCGCCAACTATGGCTGTGCATCGGCCTGGGGTTGGTTTATGGCACAGCCGCTGCATATAAATGCCTCCCAAACTGGACCCCGGTTTGTGACCCAGCCAAATGCCAGCCAAAACTGCGGTGGCGGCGCGCTCTGCGCGGAGCGCCTGCTGCGCCCGCTGCACTCTTGCACCGCTCCTTCCCTCGGTAGCCACGAGGTGGCTTGAACTCCGCTTCTGAGCCCCTGTCGATATTTCATTGCCTTGCGCGGCTGGGAAGGCAGTTCGAGGGCCGAGAACTACCCTCGCTGAAGCGGGCGCTGATGGAGGAGGCTGGCGCCATAGAGCTCAGGCGAGAGAAGCCTGCGCTGCACCGCAGGCACTGCTGCAAGCGAGGCAGCCAAGTGCCCCCTCGACTGCCGGCAGCCGCCGTTCCGCTGCGCCGCTGCCTGGACGCCCTCGACTCCTGCAAGCCCTGCGCCCCATGCAGCGATGAGGGTGCCACTCATGCAGGGGCCAGTGGCCAACGCTGAGCGCAATGCAGAGTGGATGCAGTGTGCATGTCAGGGAGCCCTCATTTACTGCTCGTGAGGATTCAGGTAAAAATTATGGTGGTTTGCATTTGGGGGACACTCCCTTGGGGAGTAAAAAGGGCTGGGAGACATGCGCTTCTGCAAATGCCAGGTGGTCATGCTGCACCCCAGCTGGCACGTGGCAGATGAGGACCAGTGTTTCTGAAAGCTGGCGAAATCGCCAAATGCTGGCGAAATCGGGCCAAAAAACGGCTCTGGCTGGCGATTGGCCGAAGGCCATCGCCAGCCAGGGCTGGCTAAATGAGGGCAGGCGGCGGGGCGACATCGCCAGCGCGTCGCCAGCCCCCATGACTGACATCGCCAATATTTTGAGGAGAAATGGCCAATTTTCCTCAGGAACTTCACTCCATAGTGTTAAACAAGCGCCAGCTTGCTGGGGGCTTCGCCCCCAGTCCCCCAAAAGGGAGGCAAGTGCCGACAAAGCAACAGCGGCGCCGCATGTGGCCGCTGCGCTGTGCCAGGCGCAAGGGTGGCTCTCCCGCATTTCGCCAATCCTCAATGTGCCATCGCCAGCTGATTGGCGAAATTTGGACGCGACAGCAGTCCTCATCGCCCGCCCA